CAGGCTACAGTTCTTTATGGATTCTTTTGATTTTGATTTTGTGTGTCAATGTCATTATGAAGATGATCCCTATCGATTTTTGTGATGATCGGATAATTTTTCACCAAAATATCCTGTCTGACTTGAAATTTTACTCTATTAGCTATATTGTGCAACTTGTGCTCACTCTACAAGCTACAATTCTTTACAGATACTTTTGATTTTGATTTTGTGTGTCAATGTCATTATGAAGATGATCCCTATCGATTTTTGTGATGATCGGATAATTTTTCACCAAAATATCCTGTCTGACTTGAAATTTTACTCTATTAGCTATATTGTGCAACTTGTGCTCACTCTACAAGCTACAGTTCTTTACGGATTCTTTTGATTTTGATTTTGTGTGTCAATGTCATTATGAAGATGATCCCTATCGATTTTTGTGATGATCGGATAATTTTTCACCAAAATATCCTGTCTGACTTGAAATTTTACTCTATTAGCTATATTGTGCAATTTGTGCTCACTCTACAAGCTACAATTCTTTACAGATTCTTTTGATTTTGATTTTGTGTGTCAATGTCATTATGAAGATGGTAAATATATTGAATTTCATAATACTTACAATCAAAGCTATCTGTGGGCGTATGTTACCTTGCCTGACAAGGTATATTTTTTTAAATGTTTTAATCAGTAGGAGATGTAGTTTAGATTAAGTATATGTAATAGAATACTGTTAGTTTATTCTTCTAATGAACTATAGCACGTTCTCTTTGCCTTCGTTTTGAAGAGTGTTAAAATGGCAGATTGCCTGCTACAATAATATGTTAAGTAAAGCTAGCACTTGTGTTACCTACTGTCTATAGAAATAACTTTGCTAGAATTACATATAAAATATGACGGCAGCAGACTGGATAGAAATAGTTCACGAATCTTTACTTTTGGTAAGTTTGGATGATACACTACAAATTTTCATATTTCATTCTTGATCAGACTTAATCTTACATTTTTATTGATTGTGATATTTTAGATTACCCTGTCTGTATGACATAAAATGAATGTAATTCTTTTCAACACCAAATTATATGCAGTTGAGAGGAAAAGAGTTTATTTCGCATGTGTCTGTAGATGATGTTTTATATAATGAAGATAGAGTTGTATGTTAATCACATCAGACAAGAATAAAAACTCAAGACAGAATAAATCAAAACCTGTTACTATTTTCATTAAGAAAACTGTAAACATGCTGATAACTTAATGTATGTAATAATGTTATAGACTGCATGAAAACCATTCTTACCAAAGATTAGAATAACAGACTGACTTTTTACTATTGACTTTATACTGTGAAAATGTCTAGAACGAAAGTGCACGAATGGTCTGAATTCAGAGGAAAGAAAGACTTAAAATTTGAAAATATGTCCTTCAGACTTTTATGGCATTTCTTTTTTCAAATAAGAATTTACATTGTAGTCTGTTCTATATTGGTTGACAATTCCCTAACACTCAGAAGATTGTATTTGAATGTGACCTTCATTCTAGGTATTTTCTTTTTGAAAGGAAGTTTATGTTGAATTTCATTCCAATTCAGATATATTTTGAATTTGAATAATTTCTTTTCGAATCTCCAGTCTTTGACAGATTATTTCTTGTCTTTGTTTGTATATCAGGGCTTCATTATCACTTACATCATTTGACTTAAATGGTTTATTTTTTGTGATAGTGTCTCTATTATCTGGTCAAGATTTTCTGGAGTAATATGAACTATAGACAAAAAAGAGTAAATCAGAATTATGTAAATAGTTGTGTAAGTGTTTCTATACACATACAATGGATAGAATCTCTCTTTTGCACGGTGTCAACATGCAAACAATATCTACTGATCAATAATCTCATAGTAAACAAGGTTTAAAGATTAAATCTGTTCACTTTGGTGGCAGATAGAAGCACCAATGGAGAAAAATTGGTCCTGACAGTATAAAATATAAAAATTATGTATTTGTAGTTATCTGAAGAAGATGGTGATTCTGATGCTAGTATAGACACCATGACAGAAACTGAGTCTCAACAATCTTACACAAGGCAAGTCGGAGCTATACGTAAAGCTGGGTAAGTTTTGAATGATAATTTCAGAAAAATTTCACAGATGTTTGAAAGTAAAGGAAAATCTTTAAGGAATCTTTTAATGGCCATATTTTCAGCAACATTTTCCAAGATGATTTTTGATAAGGTCAAGCAGCACATTTCAGATTCACTTTATATATCATTCTTTACCTGACAGATATAATATAGAATTTTCTAATAGCAACACTACACTGGTAAGGTAATTAAGTATAGATTTACCTTTGTTAAAACATAGTTTATACAGACTACACAAGATAAACTAGTATATCTTTATATCATCAATAAAACATAACAACCATGACTGTAAAAATATTGTGTGATTATTCATGTATAGTTATAAATGAAATGAATGGAGTTTTACGTCCTACTTTCATGTACCGTATAGGCTTATAAATGTGGGCATCACCATGCAATGCGCAATGAGGGAAATTTTGTGAGGACAGCTTCTTTAGCCTTAGGGAAGTTTAACAAAAACAATCTGTAATAAACAGGGTGTCATTTTATTGTCCCTTCTGAAATACTTGCCACTTTTTCTGAAGGTATCTTTCAGGTTAGTGGGCAAGCGTCTAATTCACTGAGCCACCACAGCTCCCTATTGTATAGTTACAGCCAGGTTCAATTCTCTCTTTTTGAATAAAAGACATAATTTTATATTTCAACAGAAAGTGACTCCTGTATGATCTAAAGGGACTCTTTCTTGATAAGTTTTGTTGATTTGACTGTCTGTATCCTGTTTATTTATTTTGGTTATATCCTTCAAGCTTTAAATAAATTGTTTATTTTTCAGATTGTCACATCCATTATTCTATTATATTATTCATGTAGAAAAGTTTATGTTTTGAAATTATGCACTCAAGATCTTTGAAAAAAAAGCACAAGGTTTTTTTTTATAGACATAGAATGAATATATTAGTTACTTTGATATCCCTTTAAATATTCAGACTTGTCAATTATTTTTTATCTATTTCACAACAGGTGGCTTGTTGTTAAAAATTGGTTGGTGCATAAAAAACGCAAAATTGAATTAGCTGCCAAGAGAAATTGGAAGAAATATTGGATATGTTTAAAGGGAACAACCCTCTTATTTTTTGACTGTGATGAAGAGAGTGCTGTAAATGAGAATAGTGTACCAAGACATATACTTGGTAAGAATCTTTAATTGTAAAAAGAGTTTTAGTATTTTCTAAATTTATTATCTAGGAATATCTAGACTGATAACATGATAAGACAATTTGGTATTTTTCATTACAGGATGCAAGTCTTCAGACTTTAATTTGACAAAGTAGTTTTAAAGATGCTTAAAACTTGTTTTTTTTAGTATTATTAGACAGACTGTACTAGAAATGATTTTATTACTGCATTATTTGAAATATTATTTATTATATATTTATTGTAGTTATTGAAGGTGGTATATCTCAAGCAGTACCAGAACATCCTAAAAGAGATTATATTTTCTCTTTAAGCACAGCTTGTGGTGATGCATTTTTATTACAGGTATTTAGAAACATTAGTTTTGTTATTATAATTGTTATATAAATATTATTACTCATTGTTATTCTAATGACTATCATATTTATCAAAAATAACAATATAAAATACATTATACCATTTCATAACTGATAATATGATAAGTATATATCAACAAATAGATAGACAATATTATAATTAGTAGAAATAATCTTCAAATCTTCCAGTATACAACAAATAGTGTGTTTATTCTCTAAATTACTTGTGGTTGAATATGTTTTGTGTGTCTTTATTTGTTATTGGTAATTGTAGGATGTAACATAATAGTAGACAACACTACAAGTGCAGGCATAGATTTATACTTGTTAATTCAGCTGTGCAAAGTGACTTTTAGTTCAAAATATCTCTTGGAAAGCAATGAGAAAAGGAAATTATTTGGGTGAAACACTTCATTTTTGGTATAAATTATCCACCATTATTATCCTATATATTGGTAATTAGAATATATATCATGGCCTGTTGGTGACAATAGTCATATCTTCCATGGACTAGTCCTTGGATCATTATAGAACTAAGGACATTTCTGTCATACATTAAAGAACATGATATTTCTACAAAGATCTGCAAAAATGATTTTATCTCAGTGAAAATATTTGGAATATAAAAGATTTGGGTTTTAGTCTATCTATGTAAAGTTAATGAGTCCTGTAGGATTTTAACTGTTGAATTATTGAGAAATTAAAATGAATTTGTCTCCTATCACTGTTAAATTAGAGTTAAAATTGATTTTTACTCTTGTCTTTCAGGCGTCCAGTCAAATTGATTTAGAGAACTGGATTCGATCTATTCACTCAGCATGTGCGTCATCATTCGCCAGACAACATGGAAAAGATAATACATTAAAGTTATTGAAATCTGAATTAAATAGACTAGAAAGTAATATAGATACGGTAAGTAATCATGTGTATTGTACATGATAAAAACTTAGTTCAGATTGTAAATATTACACTCTAATGTCACTTCTTTCTCACCTTGTGCAGTGTCTAGACTACTTTATAATAAAATTATCTTGAGGCTTTTCTTGTCCAGTATGAAATTTGATTATTTTGGGTGGACACTGGCTATTTGCTTGTCATTTTTTGTACCTTTTCCGAAAATTGTGCAATTCGACAGAATTTTTGTTGATAATTAGGAAAATGTGATAGCTCATCTTGCCAAATTTCTCATGTTGCTTATGCAATAGTATTGTCTGCCTTGATTTGTCCAATGTGATTAGTTAACCTTCATTTCATCATTCAAACACACTGTGACTTCATTAGAATTAGTTATGCTCCGTAAGGTTTGCAGATCTTCAGTTCTATGGTTTGCTATAATGATGTATGCTCAAAGCCAAATTTTTGGGTTGTGTCAATGTGATTTCTAGATTATTATTCATATAATATGAAATTTAGTTTGCTATTATTGGTCATGTCCTCAATTGATAAGTGTTTGTAAATTATATTTGATAGGATGTAAAAATGAAGAAAATGGCTGAGTTACAGATGACAGTAGTGTCAGATCCTAGAAGTAGAATGGCTATAGTTAAACAGATAGCTCAGTGGGAAGAGAATCTAGAGAAATTATTTATAGAACAATATAGATTCCGATGTTATATAGCTTCATTACAAGGAACAGAATTACCTAACCCTAAGGTAGTAATTTATTGTCAAGATAATGAGTTATGGTTAAATGCTTTTAGCTAAAGTAGAAATCTCTGTTGCAATTTGTTTTTTTTTGGTCTATTCATAGTGAAATATCATAACGATATTGTAATCTATGTCTTTTTGGACTTGCAAATTTAAAGTTTGTAAGCCAAGTCTAATAGAACACAAAAGAGAAAGAAAGAAAATCAGAATTATGTGTCACTTGGATTGAACATATGTCTCTTGATATTAATGTGTGTATGTATTTTTATATTTCAGGTCTTATTAGCTAATGCTGCTAAATCAACAAAAGCAACTTTAGGTAGATTGGGTATTTTTACTGTGACGTCATTCCATGCTCTAGTCTGTGCACGTAAACCTCTTGTATTACCATATATTTATGGTAAAGGATCTAAGAAAGGTGGATTATTATCTCCTACTGGTAATTCTAGTAAAGCTAGATCTATTACACCTACAGCTTTACAAGGTTCTTCTACAGAGTGAGTAGTAATTTTTAGATTAATGATAAATTTCTCAACAAAATTCCTAAAATGCCGGAATTTTACCCATTATGTTTTGAATAGGCTTTCATCTGTGCTCACTGTAGCCTACACTTTTATAAGAAATTCATGTCATCTCTGTAGCCTACACTTTTATGAGAAATTCATGTCATCTCTGTAGCCTACACTTTTATGAGAAATTCATGTCATCTCTGTAGCCTACACTTTTATAAGAAATTCATGTCATCTTTGTAGCCTACACATTTATAAGAAATTCATGTCATCTCTGTAGCCTACACTTTTATAAGAAATTCATGTCATCTCTGTAAGCCTACACTTTTTCAATAAATTCATGTCATCTCTGTAGCCTACACTTTTATAAGAAATTCATGTCATCTCTGTAGCCTACACTTTTTCAATAAATTCATGTCATCTCTGTAGCCTACACTTTTCTAAGAAACACATGTCATCTCTGCAGTTTACACTTTTCTAAGAAATTCATGTCATCTCTGTACACTTTTCCAAGGAATTCATGTCATCTCCTGTAGCCTACACTTTTCCCAGAAATTCATGTCATCTCTACACTTTTCCTAAGAATGCATTTCATCTCTGTAGCCTACACTTTTCCAAAAAATTCATGTCATCTCTGTACACTTTTCCAAGTAATTCATGTCATCTCTGTACACTTTTTGAAGGAAGTAGTCAACTCTTTACACTTTACCAACAAATATGTAATATCTGTATTCTGTATCTGTTTCAGATCTGTTGTTAAAACCAATGAAAGAATTTTATCGGATTCTACTGATTTATTAGATAAAAATTCTGAAAGCTCTTCAGGTCAGGAAAGTTTATCAAGGGTCACATTACCAAATAAACAGGTTGGTTTTATATTGTATTCTCACTTTCTTAGTGTCCATGGCAACTACTCTCAACAAATTTCTGCTTACAAACTGTAGGATTTTTCTTATAATAATGTAGAGTAAACAAATTGATTTGTCAAAACAAATCAGTAAGTAGACAATTACCATATATCTACAAACATATTAGTTATTTGTTTGTGGAAACTAAATCACCCCAACTGACTGAATCACACACTGAGAAAATCTCAACTTTAAACTAAAAGACTAATTTTTAAATATACAACCATCAAATGTGCTCACTGATAATGAATGAAACAAAATATGTAGAG